TTAAAGATTTTATATAATGAATTAGTTAACATTTAACACTTTCAGACACTATGATGGTGAGACTTGTGTTAAAGATTTTATAAAGTGAATTAGTTAACATTTAACACTTTTGAGGAAAAAAAAAACTAATTAAAGTAAAACATTTCTACTTTAATTAGTTTAAAACATTGTTTCAAAATTTGAGAAAGAAACTGGAAAAAAACTTAAAATTAATAATTGTTTTAATCAACTATGTATATATATATTTTTCCAAAAAAACAATATACATTTTTAAAAATTTATACAGTATTTTTTTACTGAGAAAAAATAACCTTGTATATCGGTAATGGAATATAAGTGTTTATTTTTACTAATGTTAATTTTTACTAATGGTAATTTTTACTGTTAATTTTTACTTCTGCTTATTTTTACTACTGATAATTTTTCAAAAATAAAAATGAATTGTCAAAATTTTACTTTGACGAAGCAAAAATTTCAACTTTATACCTTAACTAACATATTAAACACTCACCTTGACTGAACACTAATGATGAAGTCTAATCTGAAAAATACGTTAGTATTCGTTAAACTCTTTCAACAGATTTTTACTATTTTGTTGATTATCTATTTTTTCTTCGTTAGTAGTTTCTATCAATCCATTTCTTTCAATTTTTTTCTATCTTTTTGAAAAATTGTGATTTTTATATTTACTTAATTATATATATTTACTGATTAATATATTTAGCAATTTACAGATTTAGAACAGCTCGTTTAAGAGCCTAAGAACGATAAAATAAAACTCGTAATGTAAAGAATGAATATAACAGATGATTATAACGGATGAATATAACGGAAAGATTTCAGCATTTGAAAGCAATTGATCGAGCGTATACAAATTATGAGGCAAACATAAAAGTATAACGCCAATATAACGGATAGCGTTTACTTTTTTCAAAATTATCCGTTATATTAGCTTTAGTTTTTTTATTTTCTTATTTTAATATTAGCTTTAGTTTTTTTATTTTTTATTTTAATATTAGCTTTAGTTTTTTTTTAGAGTGTAGCGTTGGATCTACTTAAGGTAAACCTAAAAAATTCAAAAAGGAGTAGTTTTTGATTTCTTTTTGAAAAAATTTTAAAGATTTTCGTAAAAATTTATTTTGATGTTTTCTAGTTACCTAGGTTATGGATTTCTTATGTTAAATTGATTTTGAATCACTTTTGTTTCTGATTAAAAATTAGAAACAAAAGTGCCACAATACAATTTAATATAAATTATTTAGATTTGTTTAAATGTTGTTTCAAGTCTTGTTGAAACAATTAAAAACAAAAAGAGAAAATATGAAAGAAAGGACTAGTAAAAAAATTATTTATTATACCTCTGGTGCACTTTTTTTTTCTGTCTCTGGTTTTTTGTCTCTGGTGCATCTGATATACCACAGACAAATCATAAAGTTAAAATGGCTCTCTGTTTGGATAAAATTTGTTTTACTTGTGTGACTAATGTCAAATTCTGTCAAGTCATGTGTGGTATGTCTCTAAGTTCAATGACAACTCAATTTTATACAGTACATAGAATAGAATAGAGGTTTTTAAAAATGATTGCGCTGAACTAAATACAGCTTGGTCACTAAGATTAGGCAGTATAATGTATAAATAAAGTGTATCAAAGAAAAATTAGAGCAAAAGAGTATAATATAAACTGTATTGATGAAGTTTGTTTAATTGAAAGTAATAATGAGTTGTTAACCATGTTTTTCCTTCAGATCTTTATTTAATGGGAGGGCAACAAACCATATCTTTAAAATAATAAACAAACTAGCAGAACTATTAGAATTATTAAAAAAGATTTAAAATGATATAACTATTTCAAAAAGAATTGGGTAATATAATAGTAATGGTTGTCGAAAAATATTAAAAAATTGGATGAAGTACTTTAACTTGTCTTCAAATTAAAACCATTGACTGAAGCATTCAGGCTTCTCGATTTGTTTACTCCCGTTAAAGTGTAAATCTAAAGCCAAGATTTAAAAAAGACAATAAGTTATTTAAGAATTATCATTCAATATTAGTAGAATATTAGAAAGTGACATGTATGTCACTTTCTAATATTCTACTAATATTGAATACATGTCACTTTCAATATTAGTAGAATATTAGAAAGTGACATGTATGTCTTAAAAATTGTAATCTCACACAATTTTTTCCCTACTTGTTAAAATAATCTTAGTGTTGACTCAACTTTATACCTCATCATCCTTAAAAAACCAGATACAGCAATTTCAATTAACAAGGATAAACCTTTTGGTCATACATAAATGGTTCAAACACACTGCCTTCTTACTGGCTAGTTTGAAGTGGCTCAAAACAACTCTGTGGTTAAATTTCGGCATATTAATTATGAATATTTTTTTGTCTATATAACAGCTATTTATTGGCAAAAGTAGTTTATGGATCTCACAGCCAATGAAATGAACAAATTTTTTGTTAACAGCTATAAAGAGGCAATACAATCTTTGTTCCCTTTTATCGAACTTCCATTATTACTAAACATGAACCCTGGCTAACACGAAAGATCAAGACGAACAACCAAGGGAAAGCGAGTTCTATGGAAAAGTATATTGCTGCCGGTTGTAGCACTCATAATAAAATTCGAGAAGCGCATTTAGTTATACATAGTTAAAGAAGCTGTACTAAAGTATTAAGAGAGATTGGTGTTAAAGAAGCTGTACTAAAGTATTCCAAATATGAGCTAAAACTACTACATAAGTACGAACGCATAATCGAACACATCAGATAATCGAACGCATAATCGAACACATCAGATAATCGAACGCATAATCGAACACATCAGATAATCGAACGCATAATCGAACACATCAGATAATCGACAACATCGCATATAATCGCAGATAATCAAACAACATCGCATAATCGAACACATCAGATCACTTGAGACATTTGATAGCATCATATCTACCGATTATGATTTGATATGATCCACGTTAAATGAACATTTTAATTAGTTTTTGTAACTGAGTTACCGGGTCCTGTACAGGAGTTTCCTCACCGCACTCAAAAAGTATGTAATATTGGTGAAAATTTTTTCAATTTTCATGAGGTCAAGTTGAGATAAAAAATCTTGTTGAAAAAAAAATCAATGGTTCTAGATAGCTCACATCCTCGCGTCTTTAAAAATTGTTCAGAAGCATTTCTAATATTACACTTAAATTTAAGCAATCAATCGTAACTAGATCTGTACTGGAGCTTTGGAGACCATCAAAAAATACGCCAATTTTTAAAAAGGGTTGCAAATTAAAAGCGTCAGATTGCAGGCCGGTGTCACTCACTTCAGTTCTTTGCAAGATTATGGAGAGAATTTTGTATGATCACGTAATAAAACACTGTATTGAAGATAATCTTTTAACACAAAATCAACATGGTTTTATCCCAAACAAAAGTTGTGTAACGAATTTGTTAGAGACTAGAGACATAATGAAGGATAATGACATAATGAGATCATTTAGTAGACGTAGTTAACACAGACTTTGTTAAAGCGTTTAATTAGGTTCCGCATAATTGACTAATGCACAAGTTTGAAGATTATGGATATATGATAAAACATCACATAACCAACAAACAAAACTATACAGGAAAGATGTATTATAACAAATTCTTTTCATTGAGATTCACCATAATCTTTACCATGGATCCACCTTAAAACTGAACTATAACTATTCTTCTGTTGAGTTTTACCTCTTGCAAAGTTCAACAGACCTACTTGCTCTTTGTGAGACTAATTTGAGTTGTCTTATCTTGTGATCTTAGTGTTGATGGTTATCTTCCTTTAATTCATAAAGACAATGAACAACACTTTCTGAATGCTTGGAGGGGCATTTGAAATTGAAAAGGATCTCACTTCTGCTACAGCATGGGGTTCTCAGTGGCTAGTAAACTTTAACTTAAAATCAATTTTTTTTTCCACAAAGTGTTATTGTAATAATCGAGATCTTCATATACTTATGAATGGTAATGTACTTGAAGAGTCATCTACCCTGCATCTTTTAGGATTAACTCTTACTTTCAATTTTTCTTTTGCAATATATTTGATATATGGAAACCATATATCGAATAAATTGCAGAATTAGCATCTGCTAAGGTTGCATCTCTTAATTATGTTCGCCACTTTCTTACTCAAGATTCTATTCTTTATTTATATAAATCCTAAACCCTTACTTGCATGAAATATTGTTACCATATCTGGAGTTGATCTTTGAATGATGCCCTTTTTTTTTTAAAAAACGCTTTGTAAACATGGTTGGACCAGCTCTTTCAGCCAACCATCAACCATTGTTACATCGTCGTAATGTTGCTTCTCTTTCTCTTTTCTATAAATACTATAATGGGCACTGCTCTAAAGAGCTTACGTCTCTTGCGCCATCTACTAAAATTCATTCTTGTTACTCGTCATTCAATTAAGTTTCATTCTTTTACTGTGACTGTTCCTAACTGCTCCAAGAATTCTTATTTGTCTTGTTTTTTTCCATCGAACATCAGTCCTTTGGATCTCGCTTCCTTCATCTTGTTTTCCTAATTCATATAATTTGCAATCTTTTAAGTTGTCTAGTAATTGTTATCTTCCTTTATAAACTTCATCTTTCTTCTTCCAGTAACTTCCAACTCTACTAGCGGTTGCTTGCAGCCTTGTTGGTAGTGAAGATGTTGAAAAAAAAAAATTAAAAAAATGTGTTCAATTTATTAATATGAATTTTATTTATATTTGTTTCTTCTTAGTAGAATAAAACTACACAAATGATTTTGATGTAATCACAGTAATCGCAAATTCCTGTACTATTTTGTAAGTTAAACCATGATATTAAAATGCATCTTCTATACTATTCTATCTTATATTCTGAGATAAATTACTAGACTAGAATGCAAGATTTTATTAATAGACATAAATAAAATTATTATTAATAATTGACAAAAATATAATACAAAACCAATTGTTAAAAAGCAAAGATTCTCAAATATTTATTTCGAAAGTTAAATAAAATACTGGTAATTTCTTTTGAGTAAATGACAAGCGTTGTTTCCAATAATCGTTACTTTAGCTATAATTTTGGAAAAACCATTATTAAATATTTAATAAAATTTGCTTTAGAAATCCTCCGTTGATTGGTTCTCTAAAGTCACTTTATAAAATTCAGTAATTTTCGACATGACCATGAGTACAGGGGCAATACCAGCCATTGTGAATCTAAAGATAAAACTTGTACTTTTGTTTCAAAATTTTTATAAAATGTATATAAAATATATATAAAATTCAAACCAATAAACACATTAATAACCAGGAATTATTGTTATAAAAAACTCTTTTATGGTAAAAGCAGACATTACCTCATAAGCAATTGTTCAAATAATTAATAAACTTTAAAAAATTTTAAAGAAATATTTATTATACTATGCTAGTAATTAAAAATAACAATTAAAAAATTACCCAAAGTTTACCCTAAAAATGACCCTAAGTTTACCCGAACTTTGGGTAATTAAACTTAACTTTTTATTATTTTATACTTTAAAATCTTATTCTTATCGTAAACATGGGTTACTTTGAATAGCGGGGTAACTTTGAACAAAATTCTTTTTTTTTTCAATAAAAGATTTTTGTTTTAATAAAAGATTTTTTGCCCTTCTTATAAAATAGACAGTAACTGCAAACTTTCCATTCTGAGATATTCTTAAAAAACAAAAAAAGTATTTAGCCAACCAGTCAGCTTAGTACATGTCAGAAACTTTTAATATCATCAATTGACTTCAAAAAAAAGAGCTTTCGTGAGGTTTTAACGATTTTTTTATATTTTTGTCTTTTAATTATCATAATTAAGCACATAGAGCCTTTTTGCTATAAACTAAAATTATATTTAAATTGTTAGCATGTTTTAGGTAAAAAAGAAAACAAATACGGTCTTTTTGCTTTGTACCATGAGAGAATATATGTTAATGAAGTAAATTCCACTCATAAGTCATTTTTCATTTTTTTTCACTTACTGTCTTTAATTTTGTAATTAGGGCCTATAGTAAAATTTCAAAAGATATTTTTATTTTTTTTTTCTATATAAAATTCTAATGTGCATTTTCAAAACCTTTTTGCATTGTATTGTAGACTAAGAGGTAAAATAAGGTAAAAAAATCTTTTTTAAATTAGTGAGATAAACTACTTACTAATAATTTTTCTTAAGACTCTGCAAAATTTTTTCATAGTTTTTTTTATTTTCTGTCATGTTTGTCTTGTTACAATTAAAAAAAAATTTAACAAGAAATAAAAAAGTTTTTGAAAATGTGATGCAATTAGCCTTAACTTCCCCTAATTTTATTTTAAAATATTAAAAAATTAAATTTTTAATATTTGAAAATAAAGCTTTTTTTTAATTAAAATTAATTATGTTGTTATGATACTTCTGAAAAATATCTGAAAAAAAAAAGCAAACCTTTTATCTGATAGTAGAGTTCCTAATTGCATTGTTGGATTAACCTTGATAAGTGTATTTCTTTTAATATCTTCAAAAAATATCTAAACAAAAAAAAGTTAAACTGATGTTTAAGAACTTTTGTGATAAAAAAGAAATTCACTACACAAAAGCATTTGTAAACAACTCATTACATTTCTTCCTGCTGTTATTATAACCCTCTTTCAGCCTTATAATTCAGAAATATAGGTATTATTAGCCTCAACTTATTTCTCTGCACAATAGCTTTGTTATTCAAACCTTGAATAACAAAGCTGTTGTGCAGAGAGTTAAGGCTAATAATACCTATATTACTTATGTATTATAACTTTTCTTAATAAAAATAATACAAATGCTGCAAAATGGTTGGAGACCAGTTTGCAATCATTGCAATAAGCATGTAATAATGGGTGTAGACAGGTAAGAAAAGATATAAGCAGTGGTAATGATGAAAACAAATTTTATTAAAATTAAACAGGTGCTTTGGGTGTATTGCAGGTGTAAATGGGTGTAAATAAGATTCAATGGATGAACACAGGTGCTATTTAAAATAATTTCAAATGGATGTAAACAGGTGCTATTTAATAAAAATAGGTTATAAAAGATGGATTTTTAACTTTAATTAGGTGCTTAACATTTATTAGAAAACAGACATTAATAGGTGTAAGCAGGTAATACTAGAGGTAGTTATATTTAAAAAAAAAATTTTCTGAAAGGTGTATAATGTGAATAATAATTAATAGAAATAAAATATTATTTATTAATTGAAAACCTAATCTTTATTTATTCTCTAAATCCAAGATCTAGATCTTGGATTTAGATTTGGATGTTGAATAAACAAAAATTAGGATTTTAAAAAATTTTAAAAAATATATAAATGTATAAAAATATGTAATATATAAAATATAAAAATAAATAAACTTTCTTATTAATTAAATAAAACATCATAATGATAATAATAAAAATAATAATAATAACAATAATAATAATATACAATACTGTTGAGATTTAACGTCATGTTAAATCCTTTATAGACAAAACAAGAAACTTAAAACTTGATTAAGTATTTTAGACAAAGATTAAGTCTAGTTTTGAATATTTAAGTTTTAAATACTTAAGAGACTAAACTTCTATTGTTTTAATTTGTTCCAGAATTTGACTGTAAGATTTGTGAAAAAATCCTTACAATTTTTTATTGGTGATTAAATGATGTTACCTCAAATAATTGAAAAAGGGCAAGAAATAGTGTTATCTTATAAGTTTTTGAAGCAATTAAAAAAAAAGCCTGGTATTGATTTTCCCATTAGTTGCAACCAATTATCACAGCAATAATTAACACTTTAGTAACCTTTTTTTTTGGAACAAACTTCCATACCTTTTGGACTTTAAAAATGAACAACAGATGTTAAAAGATTGTTTTTAACTGATGTTAAAAGATTGTTTTTAACTGCTGGGAATAACAATAAATAAAAAAAAAACAGACATCTTTCAAAACTTTTTTGTAAAGAAAACCTTCAGGTTTTTGAATTTAAATATTACTTGTTTTGGACATCATGCCTAATGTTGAATGTATGCTGAAAACCAAAAATTGAAAACCCTTTATTTTTGGCTCTGGTTCTAATTTAAGTATATTTTCATTTTCAGGTATCGATTTCAGCAAAACGTCAGTACAACTTGACCTATAATAAATATCCAAAAAAAGTTTTTGATATTAAATAAAAATTGTCAAACTGTTTATTAATAACATACAGTTAATAAAACTTTATTTTCTTTAAAAAGCTCAACACTTAAAGTCAAGAACTGCAAACAAATAAAACCTTTTTTAAATATATTAATTCTATGCCAACAAAAAAAACTTTCTTTTATAGAGTTTTCTTTAAAATTGATTTGAAAAATTTATAGTTTATTTCATATCCTGCATTAAAAAATTTTTTAATGAAGGATATGAAATAAACTAAGAATTACTTCATTAAATGAAGCTAATAGGTAGACGATACTTATGAGGACAATTTTTTTTAAATAATTTTTGTTTCAATAAAATGGGTTGCTTTTTCTTCCCTTTTGAAGTTATGATGATAAAAAGAAAATTTATTGGAAGTTGTATTATTTGAGTGATAACGCAAACAACCCTCGGAATTAGGGTTGGCATTCGGCAATGCCAACCTTAATAGACTTCTGGAGTTTAATTTTGAATTTCTGTTATTTAACCCTAATAAACTTCTGGTAACCTCTTTGTGTCAAATTTTTTTGCTGACCTAATGCCAACCTCTAACAGTTTGAGGTCAGCAATTTATTGCCAACCTCAATTTTCCTAATTCCGAGTATTGCACAAGAATAACTTTTACATAATACAAAGTTATGCAATATTTTGTAAGTTTTGGAATTAAAGCCAAAAAAACTTTATGTGTGATTACAATAAAGTAAAGTTTTTTTTGGCTCTAATTCCAAAACTTACAAAATATTACATAACTTTGTATTAGTAAAAATTACTCTTGCACAACCCTCAGAATTAGGAAAATTGACGTTGGCAATAAATTGGCAATAAATTGCCGACTTCAAACTGTTAGAGGTCAGCATTAGGTCAGCAAAAAAAATTTGACACAAAGAGGTTACCATAAATCATAGAAATGAGGTCAGCAATTTTTTGCTGACCTTAAACACATTTAGGTTGACATTGCCAAATGCCAACCCTAATTTCAAGGGTTGTTTGCATTATCACTTAAATAATACATCTTCCAATAAAATTCCTTTTTATCATCATAACTTTAAAAGGGAAGAAAAAGCAACCCATTTTATTGGAACAAAAATTCTTTTAAAAAATTAAAAGTATCGTTTACCTATTAGCTTTACCTGCTTAAACCTATTTGTAAGTATCGTTTACCTATTAGCTTCATTTAATCTTACTTGTTTATACCAACAACACCTGTTTATAGCATTTAACTACTGCTTCTACTTATTAAAACCTAATAAAACAATACATAAAAACTTTTACTACCCAAAACGTATTTATCATGTGCTCAGTGGTAAAGTAATAGTCTTTTATGCTGAATGTCTTTAGTTCAGGCTGATTATTAAACTAGAGAGCCTTTAAAAGAAACCTTTTGTTCATTAGAAATCAAAATTAAAGTTTTAAATAGAGAGAGAGCAACTCAAAATTTAAAAGCTTTTCTACTATTTTTAAATTAAAATTAAAAAAAATTACTTTGAATAACAACTGATTCATGTGACACAATATATTATATACAGATTTAATTCAAAATGGCATCAGTATATTAATTTTTTCCCCCACAAGTATTGGCTTGTGCAGGCTCACTAAATGAGTAAGCCTAAAGAAAATTAAATAAAAATAATCAAGTTGTAACCTCTATATTTTTTAATGAATATGCTTTCTCCACATCCCAAGGTGGATAGGTTTCAAAAATAACTGCAAGCTGTTCACTGAAACTAAAAAAAAAAAATAAAAAAAAAATTGTGCAAGATTGATAACAAACATTTTCTTTTATTGTTTTAAACCTTTTAAAAATTACCATATATCTTCACTAAAATCCTCAATGAAGTCAGATTGAGCAAACTCTGGATAAACAAAGTAACAAGGCCAGTGAAGCATTTTTCTATCATCTAAATATAACTTCCCACTTTCTGGTTTGTTTAATGTGTTCAAAAGCTGTTCTATATGTTGAGGTGTGGAACCATTTTCAAAATTTATTTTGCGAGACTAAAAAAATCATAACACTAAAATAATAATTATATAACACTATGATCATACCAGATTATTAACAAAAATACAAAAAACAATGCACAAATATGCAACACAATGAAAATATATTATGAGCACAAATATCTAAAAAAAACCTTTTGATGATTTTTTTGTGTTATATAAAACTTTTGTGTTGATGAAATTTTAAAAGCTTTATATCTGTTTGTGTGGATAGGCTAAGCTTCCTATGTTCTGAGTACTCCTGTGTCCTTAACATCAATGCATATTTAATAGACACAAGCATATTTTTAGAAGGTACTTCAATTCATGTAGTTTGAGAAGGTGGACATTATGAGCAAAATTTTAGCCTTGTTGGAAATGTAGATGTTTAAAAAAACAAAAAAAAACATGTTAAACAAGTGCAAATATAACAACTTTGTTTACACCTAAATACTTTTAGTTGCTTATTTTATTCTCAAATTTTGCTGAATCAAAAAAGTTCATAACAACCTTAGTTAACTTCATCAATGCAGATTCTCACAGTTGATTCTTGAAGAATACTTTTTTACTTATGGTTGCATGATGATAGCTCATACAGCCTGGTATGTTATGCCAACACCAAAGGTCCATAATAAACAAATTAGCACACAGGTATTAAGAGTACTATTTTTATTTTAGGCTTAAATCTATATGATTAGCACCTTGCTAAAATGGTTGCTGCTTAACTGGATAGAAGTGATGCTGAGTGAATATGACCTTTTGTTCACATTAACTTCCACTTTGACAAACATATTTTGTAATTTCAGTCAGCATGTTTTTTATTACACATCTACAAAGTTCATCCTTACTCATGATATTGAATACTGTTTGTATAAATTTTATTGGGAGTAAATATATATAATAGAGATAAGAAATATACTCTCCATGCTGTACATGTAATGATTTTGCAATTATTAATATTTTAAACTTTTCATCACCAAATATTATTTTGATATTACCTGTTGAGTAAATTTAAAATCTTTGGACAATTTTCTGTATTTTTTCAACAGTTGAAGTTAAACTACTTTCACTTTTCTGTGATAAAATTGAGTACCTTAAATTAAGGTACTGTAGTGGTGTAGTGGTAGAGCGCTTGCTTCGTAAGGAAGAGGTCCCAAAATTGATCCCCACCACGCCCCTGGTAGTAACGCGCTTAACTTGTTTCTCAGTGCAGCGGCATTGTCACGATTTGTGTTTCGGAGTAATAGAATTGAGAGAGGGTTATAACCACAATTAAATAGACTCCTTGTCTGTAGTGGCCTTCTTGGCCTTAAGGAGGCAAATTTACATTAAAATAAATAAATCAAGCTCTATGCTACTTCTATGCATTACTTCTATTATCACTTCTCAGACTACATGTTGGAGAAAGGCATAATTAAGTATTCATCCAAGCATTGGCATTTTTTTTAATGTTGATTCACCTCTCTATATATTTAACAGCTTTCTCTTTTCTGCAAAAAAATAGTATATACCTTGCCTTTAAAAGATAATTAAAATAATCACTTCATCAAGAAAAAATATGAAATAAAAGTTCAACTAAGTTCAATAACATAAATATTTATTAGATAATATAATGCTGAATAAATTTTACATTCTTATTATTTGAAAAGTATAAAAAACAAAAAACTATAAAGACTCCAAAATCTGTGAAAAAATGAAGCAATCAAAACGACCAAAAATAACAGTTTATTTTTGTTCTATACACAACTTTCAAGTGAACATTATTTTGATTTGGTTTTTTTCTTTGAAAGGTTACTTGAAATACATATCTTAAATACAATCAACAATACATATTTTAATTAAAAGTAAATGTTGATTTGTTTTCTGCATTAACATTTAGGGTAAAAAAAAATATATATAGCTTAAAGGTTCTTGAAACTTATTGCTTTTTTCAAACTCATAACTAAGCTGAAAAAAAAATTTAAAAATCTTTCAAACAGTATGAAATATATTTTCTGCGCAGTTTTTAGACCCATCTCTATAAACTTTGGTTAAATCACACCTCCATCTTAACTGTAAGATCCTATAACTGAGGACTAAATATTCTTTCTCTTATTCATTGTTCTCAATCAAATGCTACCGTATATTTTGCTTATTATTGGAAAGAACACTATAATGGGAGTTATAGTTAAGTACAAGGGAGGAAATAAATCTAGAAAAAGAGATTTAGAAAAAAAGTCTTAAGTCAAAGCCAACTTTTTCAGAGTCACAAGGAAAAGCACAAGAATAAAGTAACATGGTTAACATTGAAAACCTTGCACACTCCTAAATTAACATGAAGTTTTGTTAATAACATTGAAAAAAGTACAGTCTTTAGATGAAGGGAAGCAATATAGAACAAAGAGAAAGGTGATAAAGTGAAGTGGTACTAAACAAAAACTCATAAAAGAATAGTCTTTGGATTCAAACCTAGTTTTCCAACAATTAAGTGAATTTTTACGAATGTAAATGCCCAGGCCAAACATGTGACTATTGAATTCTTTACGAGTTAAGGGATAAGATAACAATCAACACTAAAATAACAAGATGAGACAGCTGAACTCAAATTAGTCTTATGAACTTTGTTTATGACTTCAAATTAGTCTAATTGAACTTTGTTCATGACTTCAAATTAGTTTAATTGAACTTTGCAAGAAATAAAATATGATGTATGTTGCTTAATTGATTTTTTATGAAAAATTATTGATAAAAAATTTTTAGTTAAAGATTTCATTTAAAAGTAAAACTATGTCTCTCTTTTATTAACAAAACTATGATTTAAAATATTAACATTATGTCACTCGCTTGTAGAACAAAAGTTTAAGCTTTGCACTAATGTAATGAATGAAAAGTTTAAAGTCCTTACACCTGATTTCTATAGTGGAATGTTTACTATTTTAACCAAGCACACATGGAAATACCATGTGAATACAAAAATTATTACAAGAAAACTTAAGAATATTTTTGATTTTGTGAAAACATCAAGATTATAAAGCTTTATTTATGGTGTATCTTGCCAATGGTATACCACATAAAGTTATAGCATTAACAACAACTATAATTAAATAAAATATATATATTTAATAAAAAAAATCATCTAGGTCATATTTTAAATCCAGAAAATTGTTTGGGTAAAATATCCAGAATATACTTTCCCTTATTTTTCTCTTAACTTTGTTTTAGCTAAGTTGTTTTAAATTTTATTTAATTTTTGTATGAGTGATGAGTGAAAAAGCTTAAGAAACAAATATATATATATATTTTTTATTTTTTTTATACATCTTTGCTTCTAACAAGGCAAAAAACCACTATATAACTAAGAATCGGAGGTTACTGGAAGAGAAAAGATGAAGTTTTTAGAGCGAGATAACGATTGACAGATGGCTTAAAAGATTGCAAAATATATGAATCAGGATAGCAAGATGAAGAAAGCAAATTTCAAAGAACTGAAGTTGAAGGAAAAAAACTAGGCAAATAAGAGTTTTTGGACCACTTAGGAACAGTCACAGTAAAAGGATGAGACTTAATTGAATGACGAGTAACACGAGAATGAATTTTAGTAGATGGCACAAGAGATGCTAGCTCTTTAGAGCAGTGCCCATTATATTATTTGTAAAAAAAAAGAAAGCAGGGGCTTGGTGGCTGTAAAAGTCCTATGTAGGATTTTGTTAAAAAAGCCTATATAAGCGGGATTTTACCACATATGATGGATGTAAAGGCCCATTCATGTCCAGAAAATAATGGCATCTATCTGTTATTTTGCCTGACCCATATTATGTGTGTATTTATTTTACAATTAATTTAGCTGTTTCAAAATTATTAATAAATTAAAGTAGTGTGTATAAACTTCATTTTTTGAACTTTTTATTTTTTATACAAAACAGAAAATGATGCTACGTTAATAAAATACGTCATTTTTTTTGAGCTAATTCATTTTTTAAAAGACGCCTAAGCATTAAATTTTTTTGAATTAAGCAGACTGGTTTTTATCATTTATATTAAAACATTGCAATTAATTATTAGCTCAAATTTATATTTCAGTATTTGTTTTATTTTTTGTATGATGGTTTTTATTTAATTTCAAACAAATATTTTAGCTTTTAAAACCCTTTTTAAATTTATTTTATAAAAAATTTAACATAATAGTTTTTTAAATGGTTATAGAAACCAGTATTTTTTATTACACTAATAAATTTGAGTTTTGTTATGTAACATTTGCTTTAAGTTTTTCGCTTTTAAAAGTGTTTAAAAAGTTTTAATAAAAGTAATAATTTATCAAAAAATACATTACATACTTTTTAGAATATTATAATTACTTTTATATAAATATGTCATATTTATATAAAATGGCGAACCTGTACACGGCTCTCGAAACAATAATTCTCGGAATTCGCATTTGGTATTTTACAGAATGGGCGCTAAAATATTATGTTATTGCAAGCCATAATGGAAACATTGAAAATAATAAAATAAAAAGGTTGCATAAATGCATTTTAACAAAAAATTTAACATTTTACAAAAAAATCAAAAATTACAAATTATCAACATATCTAAATTAAATATTATACATTAAATATTATAATAATTTATAATGAAATCATGATTATTAACATATTTTTTATCTACTTAAAGTATCTTCTTAGCGATTATCTTCTTAACATATCTTTACTTACAACATGTTTTTAACATGTTTGCTTCTTAACTATTTTTTTTAAATCTTTATCTTCTTTTAATCGATCCGTCAAAGTAATTAAGTATAATATTCTTTGATAATTTAAATAAAATGTTTTTATTTTTATTTTTAATAATCATTAAAATTAATTTGTTACTTTATTTAATAAAGTAACAAGTAAACATAACTATTTATATACATATTTAATATTTTAACAATAAATTACAAAGCATTTTGTAAGGTGTAGCATTTTTTTAAAAACGCACTATAAATATATTTGCCTTTTAATTTTCCAACTTAAATTTTTTAGTTTAGATTTTTTCTTTTT